ATTAATCCGAGATCCAACGGTTGGGAACTCCTCCCCCTTTCCCATTTAACTGTCCAAACACCCCCCAAACCCTAGAGATCCCTTTCATTCTTTCATCTCCCTCCCCTCTAAGCCTAACCCTAGCCGCCCCAAAATTCCCACACCCCACTGGCCGGCGGCCGGCCTCCAAACCCTCCCAAATTCACACCCCACACTCCTCACCTCATCCTCAATCCAAATCTACCTTCAATTTTCCTAAAAAAACCACGCAAAATCCTCGAATTTTATATCTAAAAAACGGCCAGAATACCCAGTTTAGTTCTTTCCGATTCCTTCATCAAGTTCAAGCTGTTTTGAGTTGAAATTATTTGTTCTTTTCAAGAACAATTAATTAATATAAGTTTTAGTTCATTACGGAATCCGGTCGAGCCTCTTGTTTTTCTTCAAGATGGGTCGTTTTTCTTTACTAGGTACATCCTTGCACTCTTTATCTTGTTTTGTTATTTTGTTTTGCTTTAAGAAAGATTAAAAAAAGAAGAGAAGAACAGTGTGTTTCAGGTGTTTAATCAGAACTTGTTTTATGAACGTTTATCTCAGTTCAATTAGTTTAGCTTAGTAATTAGTTAATTAATAGTAGATTAACATTTTGGCTATTTGTTTTAAGTCGCCGCATGTCCGTTTTATTTTAAGGGTTTACGTGATTTCAACAGCTGAATTGCATGCTAATTAGTCTTAATTATTGAGTTAATTAGATTAATTTTGCTTCTTTGTTTATTGGGACTGATTTACATGATTTTCTTTCTGCTATGGCTCATTTGTAATTAATAGGAGTTAAAGGGGTCAAAGGGATTTGGAAAATTAGGGACTCATTCTGCATTCTGCAGGGAGAGAGTTTTTTGACACGCAAGAGAGCCCTAAAAAATTCCAAGACTCTTTTTCCTCGTTTCCAATCTGATCTCCTTCTTTTTAAGTTCAAAGCTAGAAAACAAAAGAAAAATTCAGGTTGTGTTTCTTTTCATTTGCTACTGTTCTTTTTTTGCTGGGATTCATGGTTTGAGTTTGAAGCTGCTGTGGTTTTGGTTTTTCTGCTTTGTGTTCTTGCTGCTGTTTCTTCTCAGAATTTCAGAGATTTATTTTCTCTTCTACTTACTTTTGCTGCTTTAAGGTACATATTGATAAACTTTGTATGATTCTGAGCTTAGCACAATCAATTTGAGCTTGAAATCTGTGAAATTCAGATAGTCGTTGTGCTTACATGATGTTATGTATCTTCTTGCGAAATGTTCTAAGTGTTTGAATGACTTGAATCGACATTGGCTCACCTCTGACCTGTCACTGCTGATATGAATGTCCTTAAGCACATGTATTACTATTAGTTTCTATTATTGGCATCTCCACATCATAATTTGTTGATCATGAATTCTAATCTAAATAGACTTCCTAATGGTTTGCTAAGACAGCATGTCAAGCTATTTGTGAATGACTAATAATGTTATGTCATGGCTTCAACTTATGGGTCTGGCCATCAATAGGCCAGATCTGTGAGTCTCAAACCCAAATCAAGCCATTCTGAAATGTCGTAAGCTATTGTTCGTCAAATTGACAAGCGTTGTGGATGAAATCGAAGGTTACAGTTATTATAGCATTTCATCAAGTGTAGTAAACTTAATCAGTCAGGATTATGTAATTTTATTTCTTATTATAGTTGTAATTTAGTTGAAAATCCACTTAGTTGAAATTTGAAGTTCCCTTTGTATATGTAGTTCAACTTTAATTCCTGAATATTAGTTTGATAAAAATTTGTATTATGAATGTTTAAGCATGTTGTTTTATTTTTCTATCATTGCTAATAGAGACCAATGGAGATTTAGTGAATATAGCACTTGGTGAAAGATCTGTTTGAGGCGTATATGTACAGATGTTCAGTCACAATTTTGAATTCGTTTGAATGTTAAAAGCAGTTGTTTGAGCAGTAAACTTTACGACAAAGTAGACTGAAATTTGAATCACAAGAGCTTAAGGGCATCAGTAATTCATTAGGAAATTATTTGTATAATTGGAACCATTGTACTAGTGCTTTTCTTCTTCAAATGTAGCTTATTACGTTTTGGGATATGAACTTAGCTGACTTGGTGTTATAAATTGACTTGGTAAAGTGCCTGATTAATTCTCTGCAATTATTGCCACACAAATAAGACTAGGCCACCATAGTAATAGGGAAATAATTGGGACTATGAGGTGCTTTATAAAACTGGACCTGGGCCGAAATTCAAGTCTGTTTGACACTCCATCAATAATTGATTCAGCGTCAATTATTTGTTCATAGGATGGCCCATTTTCCTTTAAAAGGTAAATGTCTATCAATCATCAGACACTTCCAACAACTTAGATTTAATTAATTCTTCTAGCACACATTAGTTGAAATGTACACTTCTTCCACACTCTTATACATGATTCATGGCCTCACATTAATCTCAAATCCTAGGAAAATAATTAATTCATGAACACCCGGAGAAATGCTTTTAGGCACACATTTAATCAATTATCGTAATTGTGTACACATTCACGTGATGTGATTATGATTTTCCCAAATAAATCAAAGTATGCGTTCGCGCGACTTTGGCCGAATAATCTTAATAAAGTGTTATTAATTGTGTATGCGTACGCGTGACATGATTTTTAGCACACCAAACAAACGGATTCACACACACGTGGTTCATTTTCATGATAATTCCATAATGCCATAATCAAGTAATTTAAAAGCGGTAAAAGATAAAACGCACATAGGTTCTAAAATACGTAATTAAACAATTTAATTAAGTCAGGTATGATTAGAGCGACCGTGCTAAAATCACGGAATCCAGGAGTGCCTAACACCTTCTTCCGAGTTAACAGAATTCCTTACCCGGTCTTCTTGTTTTCGCAGACTTTAAACAGAGTCAAATTTCCTCGATTTGGGATTTAAAATAAACCGGTGACTTGAGACACCATAAATTATCCCAAGTGGCGACTGTGAATAAATAAATAATCCCATTTTGATTAATGCCACTTAAACTGGAAAAAGTCCACTATCCCCTCGGAAAAAAAGGAGGTGTGACAATTCTTACCTAATAGACAGTAATTCTATAGTTAGCTTTTAATTAAGATAGTGTAAAAAGTAATCGTCTTCACAGTTTTAAAGCATAAAAATCACCGTAAAGTTATTCTGTATGATTTATAGGTAACGACCGTGAAATCAGCCACTGATACTTGCATCATGGTAGGTTGCTTACAACAGACTTCCTTGGAGTGCGGCCTTTCCTTAAATATGAGATGATTTGTTCACGAGGCTGCCTTTTTTTTATATGTTCTTGGGAGAAAGTTTCAGACATAACAAATTCCTAAATTGTAGTAATGCTATAATACAAAAAAAGATCTAAATTATGTATACACTTACAGTAGAGATTTATTTTTACACTACGGGTGTGTTTGGTACGAAGAAAAATATTTTTTAATTTTTTCATGTTTGATGGCTTAAATGCTTTGAAAAATATTTTCCTCATGAACTCATTTTACTCCAATTGGAGAAAAATATTTTTTTTATTAAAATAAGAGAAAACATTTTTGAAAACTCTTCTTCAACTTTCCCAACCCTATTCTCCATCTCCAGCAACTCCCCCACAACCGCCCACCCCAC